AAGTCAGGAACATACAGGTTAGATGGCAGCCAAGTGGAAGTTTTGTAAGTCACAGCGGAGCATAAAACTGGGACTTGGGCACTTAAGTCTGGGGTTCTGGCTCCTAAGTACCTTTGTGGCTCTGGGCCTAAGCACCTGGCAGGTTTGGCTTTCTCTCTCAGAAGGAAATTACCCAGTTTCTGTGAAACAGTTTAAGCATCTGAATCTTTCTCTGCAATCTACTAAAATTAAAAAAAAAAAAAAAAAAAAAAAAAAGCGCACAGCTCATTTTTCTCCATGGGCATAAAATCATTAAAGACTAGAGAAAAATCTTTACTCCAGGAGTAGAAGGCACAGACTGTAAACTAACGGTTAAATGTGAAATTTTAATATATCAACATGCAGGTGTTTAACTGATGAGTTGGCCAATTTAAAACATATTGGCAATTTGGGAGCCATGAAAAACAAACATGTGACTGTGTTCATTGTGGATTTGTGTAGTCTCTCTCTCCAGTTGTGTGTCTTTCATTCTCGCCTTGCAATGGGACACCTCCATGTAACATGTTATCCAACAGACCAGCCAACTCAGATTAATATTTTTCCCAAAAAGACCCTCTCTAAAAATTCCACCTCCAATGCTCTTGAAAAAATTTTAGCTTCTCATATCCAATGCATAAAAGAAATATATCTGAAATATAAAGATTAAGGGACTGCTCCTCTTATTGGTGTAAATGGGAGCAAGATTGGGCCAAAAAAGACGTGTAAAGCGGGCATGGTTTTTATAATAAGGGAGCAATCTTGCACATAAGATGATCTCTTTTCTAATACTGTAATATCTGGTTTCTTTGAATCCATCTGTAAATTCTATTTTTATCCCAATTAGAATCAGATAAATGTGTCAGATATGGATAAAACTAATTGGTTCTCTGATCTTCTAGGGCTCAGACACTCTCAGAATAAGGGGGTCTGACTAATATAATCGTTCTTATTCAGGGACCTGGTAGAGCAAATTTTAATGGAAATTTACCTGTGTCTTATCCTTTCCTTATATTGCTCTCCTGCTTTCTTCCCTTATTACTGTCCCCTCTCATGGTGGCTCTCCCCCTCTTCCCTTTCTCTCTTTTTCCATGAAAGCTGTACTCTCAAGGCACTACTACCTTCTCTGTACCCCTTTTTGTTGCTCACTAGGAGCACTAAGGATCAAAATTCAGCTCTGATGTAAGAAAGCACAGCTATCATTGTGGGAACTGCATGCAGGCTGAATTTCATCCTCAAGTATAATTAAGTGTAATAGGGTAAAATTAAGACCAGAAAAGTCAAGACAATCTTCCTAGTTATGATTGCTCTTGATATTAATTGATTTTTATTAGACTAAGGCCCAGAGACTTCAAATGGGATCAGGACAAGAGCATGGAATATTCTCTCAAGCAAATTGGTGCAAGCTTTGTTGCTTGGGATATTTAAAAGAATACTGGACAAAACAGGAAAACAAGGTGAAAAGAACAAATCTGTAGTAGTGACTTAGGTGATGCATATAATAGGCTAACAGGAATTTTGTCTTTCACACGTCTATGTAATAGAGTAGGGGTGGGGAACCTAAGGTTCAGGGGCCACATACAGCCCCCTGCTTGCCTGGATCCTGCCCTGTAGCTTGGCCCCAGCACTGGGGAGCCCATGCTGGCGAGGAGTGTTTTTTTGTTGTTGTTGTTTTTGCTTGGTTTTTTTTCCTCACTTGTCTGCAGCCCCTGATTGATTTTTCTGTGGGTCAGTGGTCCCCAACCCAAAAAAGGTTCCCTATTCCTGTTATAGAACTATACTAGATACATTTAGCTGGATGATTCTACTAAAATCAACAGTGACACAGTTAACTTCAACATTTAAACTGTTATAATTACGCTTAAGAATTAGCACTTCATTGAGATGAATGATGAGAGTGGCCACACACAGCTATTATCTTCCTGTCCCTCTGTTCACAACTTTAGGAAAAATGCACAGCACTGGTTCTCATTTAAAAGGTTTATTTCACAACCGTAGAAGGAATAGACTTTTTTTAAAACAAAAAGCTGACTTTGGGTGGGTCTGAAATGGAAGTACTGGAATGGCATTTTGGTCTGTTCAGGGTTACCTAAAGAGCTACACTTAGTGCTCACAGGATGTGTGAGGCACTCCCTCTTCACTGGCGTCACTAATACTCTTGGATGCCACAGCATAAGAGATGCATCCTGTGCCTTTCCACTCCCAGTGCAGCACAAGATGATCTAATATCCGTGGTGTGTGTCCCAGGATCTCAAAACCAATTCTGTGCTCAAACTGCCCGTTAGGCCAAAGTCAAAAAGGATAATAGGTTCATATTTTTCTTGTATAAGATGTACAAGAAGAAATGGAGTAACACATCTGTCTTTATTTTATAAAGGCACTAGTAATGCTAAAAATGAATGGATATCAATCATGGGGCCAAGGTCTTTAGATTCAATACAACTCCAAGAAGAGCTGAAGCATAGCCAACTCATTCAGGAGAGGGGCTTCATGATAGAGTTCTGACTTGGAATGCTACTCCAGCTTATGCCCAGGCCAGAAAGATTTCCATCTTTATTCTGTCTTTAGATGTACGTACCCCTCCTAGAAAAGCTTTTGCATCTAGAATGCTGCCATCAGCCTTTGAAATCCTGAAGACACTGTCACAAAGGCAGATGTGCTGCAGTCTAATTAATTGGAAGTTGACATTTTATTTACAGTTACGCTGTAGGGTTGCTTTCATCTGCTCTGTACAAGTAACTTATCAACCACTTACATAAATTCTTTCTTCACACACCCTGATTCTTTCTGCTGGAACTTGTAAATACAGTACTATAGAGGAAGCAAAGGCAAATTGCAGGGAGTCATAGCTTAAAGTGAGTCCCACAAAATAAAACAGAAATAATGGGCACTGGAATAGATGGAATAGATCTGTCTAACTAGATACTTATATGGACCATAACACAGAAGAATCCAAACACTTAGGTACAGAAAAAAATACAATATTTCTCCTTCTTCCAACTACAGAAGAATTACTTTGATTAATACATGAATTCCTGAATTTTTAAAAGAGTGTGAATGTAAGAATAGTAAGGAAAAGAGAATAAGTGAAGTTGATGAGATTAGTTTGCCACACAGGGAAGATATAAATTTATAGCTGAAAAGTTAGTAATTTTAAAACCTATGAAACAGAATGAAGTAAAACAGAATAGCAGCACAACTGTAATTAAGCAACAGACATGCATAAGACATTTCCTTATGTGACACTTTATGAAGGACTGACAGTATAACACTTGTGTTAATTTTAGCAGATGACAATCTATGAGGAGCTCTATACTTCCAGTTCTGTCACTTCTACTCAAAAGAGAAGACGGAGGAAACATTCTTTCAAGAATAGTGATAGAGATGCAGCCGTGTTAGTCTGGTGTAGCTAAAACAAAAGACAGGACTATGCAGCACTTTAAAGACTAACAAGATGATTTATTAGGTGATGAGCTTTCGTGGGCCAGACCCCACGAAAGCTCATCACCTAATAAACCATCTTGTTAGTCTTTAAAGTGCTGCATAATCCTGTCTTTTGATTCTTTCAAGAGACTCTTTCAGTTAGGCATGGGCCAGAATTGGGAGCTCTAATCCAAAACATCTGAATTTTGTAGGAGGAGTGTTGGTGGGTGTCACATCCCTGGTTTTGAACCGGACCTATGGATTTGGTTCCAGGTCAGGATCAAAACTGGAAAGATCTCATTTTCACATAGCGGTTTAGGGTCAGCAGAAACTCTGCAGAGCAGCTCATGATAATGGAATGGCATCTGTCCCTGTTTATTCTTGAATACAAACCTCACTCACAACTCAGTCCCCATCTAACTAAGAAAGTAGTGTTTATTCTCGTTACACCTGCTGTCCATGAATGATTGGGACATTCATCTTTCCTCTTTCCCCTCTATGATAGAGCAGATAATATCTGCTACCATGACCACAACCAAACCCGGGATTCACATCTGCAAGGCTGCCAAAGAAACCTATGAGCTATGTACACAGGAAAGTTCTTCCATTATGGCCAAATCCTGACCATATTAGCAAAACTCCAAGTAACTTCCAATGGGTGATAAATTGGCCCCTAGCTGTTATAGCAGTTTCTCATATAATTCTTCATGATTACCTGATTTCAGTTTCTACTGGGACTAGATATCCAGATATAGGTTGGACCTCCTTGGTCCATCACCCTCAGGACCTGATTGGTCCCGGATGAGGGATTTTGATGGACCAGGGGAGATCATTTCTAGCCTCCCTGCTACTGTCCACCTCCCCCCTCCCAGCTCTAGCCCAGCCCACTTTCCTCCTCGCTGGCTTCCCACCAGCTGCCAACCCCTCAGACAGCTGTGTGCCATGACTCTCAGTTCCCCCGTGCAGCCACATGACAGGGCTCTCACCCCCTAACTTCTCCCCTGGGATAGCTGTGCACCAGGGCTCTGGGCCCCACCAGGCCACTGCTGTGGCAGTGGCTCCCAGCACCACTGGGCCATTGCCACTATTGCTGTAGCTCCCAGCCCCATCAGGTGCCCAGGTGCTGGGTCTCCCAGCCCTGCTGCCATGCACTGGGCGGCCCTGCTGGTAACTCGCTGTGAGTAGTCTGCTGTCCTGTCAGCCCCATGGGGCTCCCTACTGCTGGCCCTCTACGGGGACTCGCTGGTCCTGTAACATCTGTGCTGGACCATCGATGTTGCCGGACCAGAGAGTCCCGGTTTGGGAAGTTTCAGCCTTTAATCCACTAGTCATGGTAGGTCTGGACTTGTGCTTCAAGTATCACCAGTATTGTGGTGACATTCTGTTCACACAGAAATTAAACTTCATTCCCATCAGCAGTTAAGCATTACTTATTCTCTGGTGCTATGAGACTCAAAAAGCTACAGCTTCATCAATCCAAGTTATTATCCATACTGATAATATAGAAGAATGGTCATTTTTCTACAGTGTTTCTGATTGAAGACAGAAGTGTCATTACAAACCTATATTCCTTTGGATCACCACACATTCTTTAACTCTTGGGGGTGAGTGGCTTTGGCTTGAAAGGTCAAAATATTCAAAGCAGTATTTGTTTTTGCCCATTTCAAACAAAGTGCAGTTAAATTCTGTGCTGTTGCTCCCTGGGTGTAGGACTTTTTCATCTCGCCATGTTGCTCTTTCACCAGGATGTCTGAGAGCTTCCATGTACACAGCAATTTTCCCTTTGATGGCAATGCATGGAGGGGTGACAATAAACACCAGAACTGAAGACACACACATCACATCTGGTGCCACCACTAGTTTGTATCCAAATTTGTGGATGAGGTCTATGGGCCCTGTTGAGACAATGACGGAGTTGGTCTCTATTGATTTCAGTAGCACGGTGACATATACTTCTTGGTCAATAGGTGGGCAGTCAAACTCCACCCACTGGGATCTAGAGAGAAAGATTCCTTTGCTAGTTCTCATACCGAGTGACTCATCAGAGCTTAATCTTCTTAGTTCATATAAGCTCTTGGTGAATATCACATCTAGTGAAACCACTGTCTCGTTCATAGCACACAGTTGTGTGTTAGTGAAAAGTCCAACCTGAAGGGAACTCCTGAGCACCTCAGTGGTCCTGTTCAAGTCTATGTGAACTACAGGCCATTCTACCCTTAGGAGGGTACTCGCACCCCTCGAGTGAATTTCAGTGCCATTTTCAGTCTCAGAGATCATTCTGAACCAATAGTCCCCGGCCCTCTTGAAATAGAAACAGTCAAATCCTATCTTGCCTTGTGACTGCCTTGTCAGAAGCTGGTGTTTTGCAATGGTCCGGTTGGTGCTGGCATCTAGCAGTATGATGGACATATTCTTTGCTGTCACATTACCATTGACAAAGTACTGAAAATCAACAGACACCGTGTCGTTGCTTAAGGCTACATGGCCTGGTTGCTCCAAGAGGAGATATTCCACTTCACCAAGAACTGAAAGAAAACAGTTTCACAACATTATTAATAAGCAAAAAGGAAAAAACGTGAATAACCACCATGTTATGGACATTATGGACAATCAGCTGGTTTAAGAATTGGTGCCCAACCCTTTCAAAGCAAATGAATCAATTTAGTGGAATAAGACCTTGGCTATACCAACTGGAGCTCATCGCTTTCCATTCATGTAGAGCTGGGGTTTGAAGCAAGTCAAGCTCCATCACAGCTTACAGTGTGCACAACAGGAAGAGCAGAGAACCTCAGAAACAAAACCCTGAAGTGATGTCTAACAGCAGAGGGAAAAAACACTGCTTTATACTAATAACTATTTTATTTATAAAGCTTACTTATAGGGCAACCTTACTGAAAGAATCCCTTAAAAATTCATATCTGAGGAATGAAAGCTCGTGTAGTTTAACTTCAAATTACTTTTGCTTGATAGATGTTAAGGTCCTGCTTCTGAACTATCCTTCTTTATCTTTTACTCAAAATAAAAAATCTCTCCCCAATGTCTTGCCATTGTTCCACTTAGTTTTACTATAATTTAGTGAAAAAATAGGATTTGAGTTTCTTAAAGCAGAAGTGTAGAAAATACCACTCAATTATACATATTAACAATTCTACATTGTGCCTTTTGAAGCTGCCTTTCATACTTTATAAGTATGGGGGTACTTTGTAAGTATTTCATAGAATTACAGAAGTGTAGCATTGGAAGGGACTTCAAAAGGTCTTCTAGGTCAGTCCTCTGCATTTAAGACAGGACTAAGAATTAAAACCATCCTTGACAGGTGTTTGTCAAACATCCTCTTAAAAGCCTCCAATGATAGAGATTCCACAAACTCCCTAGGCAATTTATTTAAATGGTTAACCACCCTGACAGTTTGGAAGTTTTTCCTAATGTCAAATTTAGGTTTCCCTTGCTGTAATTTAAGATCATTGCTTCTTGTCCTAGCCTCAAGGATTAACAAGAACAATTTTTCTCCTTTCTTCTTGTGAAAAATCTTCCCTGGTCTTTAAAACTGTTATCATGGCTCCCCTCAGCCTTTTCCAGATTAAACAACCTCAGTTTCTTCAGTCTTCCCTCATAGGTCATGTTTTTTTAATCTTTAATAGTTTTTGTTGTTCTCTTCTTGGCTTTTTTCAGTCTGTCCACGTCTTTCTTGAAATGTGGTGCCCAGATCTGGACACAACGTTCCAGTTGAGGTCTAATCAGTGCAGAGTAGAGCAGAAGAATTACTACATGTGCCTTGCTTACAATACAGGCAGTCCCCGACTTACGCGGATCCGACTTACGTCGGATCCGCACTTACGAACGGAGCTTTCTCGCCCCGGAAGTCGGGGCGAGAAAGCCCCGTTCGTAAGCTGCTCCGGTGCCCCTGGTCTGCTGGAGACCGTCTCCAGCAGACCAGGGGCACCGGGCGGGTTCCCGCGCTTCTGAGGCTTTGCCAGAGCAAAGCCTCAGAAGCGCGAGAA